GGGGGTCGGCGAGTCTGCCGACGGTAATATAAGGTAGGACAGCAGAGTACGAGGCGCAATCGCCAGCACTAACCAGAGGAACCTCTGCTAAGTTCATAAGTCACAGGGTACTCGGCGAACATAGGGCCCGGTGAGAGCAGTGACGGCATCCACTAATTAATTGGTGTGCCGACAGACGAATGACTCTCCTTTATAAAGGCGGTAGCCAGGGTGAGGAGGTGTGAAGGAGCAAGGCTCGAGCAGTGGCCAAATCAGATCTCCCGATGCGGCCTCAGGCTCAGGTCTGGCTTTAGCCGAACTTTCTACCCGGCAAGTGAAGAATGTGGTACTGCAATCCATCTCTTTTAAGACTATGGGAGGTGATTAGGCTAGAGAGGACCAGGCACCATATCGGCTGGATGATCTCAATTAACCCAGTACTCATAGGCGGCCTCACCGATCTATTGCTTCGTCAAAGAGGACAGAAGCCGACGTTATCCTTATCCAGGAACCGTGGGTGAGCCTTTATGGAATATCTGGACTAGAGCAAAAAGCCATAAACTCCTGGCGGCAACGCTGTTAGAACCAGTCTGTTGGTCAGAAATGAATTAACGTTTTTCCTTTTACTAATTTCAGCAACGAGGACGTCGTCACTATGGGCTGGAGGACAAGAGCAATACGTAACTATATTAGAAGACATATTTTGCCAGCCCTAAATGTCAGTTGACAATTTAGGGCTGGCAAAATATGTCTTCTAATAATATCGATTAAACTAGAGCAGGCACCGATTATAATGAGTGGAATGTAAGTTTTCAAGAGGTTTTCAGCGAAAACTGTGTTTTCGTTTGACAGATTTTGTATGGATGAAGACACAAGTTTTCGCGTGAAAACCTCTTTTGTCTATGAAAACACGAATTTTGTGTCGGTGCGAACATAGTAATAGCCAGGCTCTTGGTTGATAAAAATGTCACCAATAGGTGGCGCCGTCACCGACCAAACTCAAAGCAGGATGTTAAACGTTGTTCGTGGCAATGATAATAGATATATTGAAGTCAATCCGTAATTTGGCAGAAGAGTGAACCAGCGGCTTCTTTTTATAGTTTAATGTTAAATTTAAACTTCGTTTTTCGAAAGCTAAAATTGATAATCCAAAGCGAGATTTGTAAACAGATTCTCAATATTTTTTTTTTTTTCTTAAATTTTCTTTTAATTTTAATGCAGTGTGCTAATAGTGTGCCACCTGTATATGGTTTCTATTGGATAACGCACTGAAAATGAAAACAAGAAAAAACTTAACAAATAAAGAAGTTTCCATACAAAAACTAGATTTTGATCGTTCAATTTGTATATGCTATAGTAGACCGATATCGGCGGATCTGACAAACAAGCAGCCTGTTCAGGGTATAAAAATCATGATTTAAGGAAGAGTAAGGGTACCGACCCATTTTAAAGATGACTTCGTTGTAATGAATATTTCATTCTTATACTTGTACAGATACCACGAATGCTATGTGCTAAAAAATGTGTTGCCCAAAAAATAACTAAAAGTATTAAGAGAAAAATTTCCAGGTTTAAATATTGGATTGGTTGTGCTAGTTTTCCCAAATCCAAAAGTCCGTGTCGGGAGTTTTATTCCTGGCTGTAGACAAGCCAGAAAGCAATTGAAAGCGAGCAATCCCTGCTTCAGCTAGCTTTAGAGCGTCGCGAATAAAACAAAGTAAATCAGTTGTTCAAAAGTACTTACGATATAACCTTGCGCTAACATGTCCTCCGATGCATTCACAATTGTGTTGCGTTTTTTTCATTGGTGGAGAAATAATTTTTTTCACAAAGCTTCGTTTCGAGCAGCGTCCATGCCTTACGTTTTTTATAAACAATTGTATCTTATTTCTTTAGTCTTTAAAACAATTAACACTCTTTGTCCGAATTAAAATCGGAGGGGCTAAAAAATAGGTATATGGCTTCTTGAATAATTGTAGTCTGATTTCGACTAGGTGTACCAGATGCCATCAAGTATAGATGGAGGGGTGAACGAACAGAGAAAGAGGCGTCCTTGATTAAACAATTTCCGTATATATAACTCTATATCTATCTCGAGAATTTTAAGGTGCTATAAACAATCGTTAGGTGAACAAAACTATTATACTCTGTAGCAACATCTTGTGGGAGTAGAAAAATTAGTTCAACATTACTTAAAGAGTTTATTTATCTACAACACCGCTGCCATATCCGCGGAATTTTCTGGTTTTTTTGAGCCTGCAACAGCTCGTACGGATTTATACCCCGATTTTATGATTCTTCCGGATTTCAAACGTATCTTGTCTTTTTTCTTTTTTATTTTCTTTATATAAAATATTAATATTTTCTTATTTTCTTTATATAAAATGAATTCGGAAGAAAAAGTAAGGTTCTCTTTTTAACAAGCGAAGATAGAAAAAAATTATATACTTGATTGATTAAGAGAACTGAACGGTTACGTAGACCCGACTGTCGTGGGAACGGTCGGACTTTGACCTTCCTTCCTTTCGCTTGCTCCCTTGTCTCCTATCTTTCTCACACTTTCTTGCACTCTTTCAATGGATCTGATTCCGCGATATGCCAGTCCGTTTGGACTTCCATTTTGTCAATAAGAACGTTTTAGTCTAAGAGCCCATGGGCAGATACCTATATATGTACCTATATATACCTACCCTAAATGAGATCACTAAGCGCAAAGTGGCGGACGCAGGTAGTGCGCAGGTATACATTTTTTGCTGATTACAAATCTATTTGACCACGTCTGCCGTTTTGAAATTTGAAAATATAATATTATTACTAGCGGAAAATACCAATGGCAGGCAGTTATCGCGCTGTCAACCTTTTGGCAGACAGTTTTGAAAATACCAAAAGAAATAAAATTTTGAAACTAAACCATGTCTGCCATTAATATATTTTATTCCTTATAGTATTTGAAGCTTATATTTATCACGGCAGACACCTACATTGCGTACAAACATCAGCCCAAGACTAAATATCATCAACCACCCGGCCTGCTACTATGTATAGTATTGCTTGTTTTACATTAATATAAGTTACTTGTTATTTACTTTAACACTATATTAATAGAAATTAATATTTTTTTGGAGTCTGTATACTTAATTTTACAAATTAGATGAAAAAATATCAGATTTTTTACACTAAAATCATAAATATTAAAGTATACTGCTGATAACAAAAAATATTTCTAATATTTATTGTATTTTTTTTTTATGTTTGTTCATTATTCATCTTCATCGGAGTCACATCTCTCGTTCGGTAAAAAAAACTAAGTAGATTGTAAGCCCATCCGTAAATAATTGATAAAAAAAGTATGTATTTTTTATCAACTTACCAGGGACATCAGTAACAAAGTCACTCACTAGATTTGGAAGCTGATCACCATCAAACCATTTGAAGACATACGTGTTGTCGAGATGAAAAATCCATCAATCAAGAATATATCTGTTTTCTGTGGTGGTTCTTCCTCAATATCAGGTTCAAGACATTTCACAAGTACAGATTTGTCAGTTTTGCAGAAACCACCATCTAGATGACATTATGCTAGAGGTACCAGAGTTATTGGATATGATACCACTTTTTCAAGATCAATGATGTGATCAATGGAAATTTCCAACAAACGACCGAATAAAGAGACCTTTTACTTTGCTGAAAAAAAGCATTGAGTATCAAGAAACATTTTCTGCTTTAGGTGAAGCAAATCTAACAAAGGACCAGCTAGAAAAATTATTTAATATTATTCAACGATTCACTTGCCAAATATATAATGCCAAAAAAAGTGTTGACGTTAATACCAACCAATATACCTATAATAGGTACCAATTATTTATAAGCAACTATAAAGCTTCCGACGTCAATGAAAATTTTATAAAAAAAATTAAAAACTTCGATGCAAGCTCAATACCACCGTGTAAAAGCGAGCTTTATCAACAACTTTTAAGAGCCCATTACATTTCTTCAATTTTTTGTTATCAACAGTATACCTTAATATTTATGATTTTAGTGTAAAAAATCTGATATTTTTTCATCTAATTTGTAAAATTAAGTATACAGACTTCAAAAAAATATTAATTTCTATTAATATAGTGTTAAAGTAAATAACAAGTAACATATGTTAATATAAAACAAGAAATACTATACATAGTAGCAGGCCGGGTGGTTGCTGATATTTAGTCTTGGGCTGATGTTTGTACGCAATGTAGGTGTCTGCCGTGATAAATATAAGCTTCAAATACTATAAGGAATAAAATATATTAATGGCAGACATGGTTTAGTTTCAAAATTTTATTTTTTTTGGCATTTTCAAGAACTGAAACTGATTAACAAAAATTTGCAACTTATAAAATGAAAAACGTTTACTCGAACAATTTTGAACATGATTTTCTGTCAGACGACAAAAATCAATCAACCCTTGTGAAGCAGTGATTATTCTTCAGTTTTATGCTTGATAATCGACTTAGTCGATGATAAATCTGTTGGTTGGTTTAGTGTTTTAATTTTTTTCAGAAGCTAAATCTAAAATAAAAAAATAACATGCAGATGACATTCGAAGTTACTGGATTCCTTTTTCATGAGTGAATTTTTCTTCATATATTTTTCTCATGCAGACATGCTTTGCTTTAATGAAATTGCTTATTCTGTGTTGTACATAAATAGTGCCCTGACGTCGTTTTATATAGAAAATATTTTCCGGATTTTTGAACGCCCTGTCCCACCGCTTTCCCCTCGCTGAGCAGATTCACAATGCGGCAGATCTGACAACACTGATCCGCAATTGCAAGAATGCTCTACGACAACCGCAAAGGCGACGTTGTAAACGGTAAGATCGATATTTAAAACATGAAATAAATTGGAGCTACTGTCTACCCTAATAGTAACACAAAATGTTATTACCGTTACTTAACCCAAATATTTGTACTTCTTCGCTTTATCAGCTCTTCGTATAACTTACCATTCACATTTATACAACAAATGAAACACTTTACGGAAAATATTATAACTTTATTTTATTTTATTGTTATTAGCATTTGCCGTTGTATAAAAAATTATACAAAATATGGGATACAAATATGTGTATCTAACATTTATTAGTATCACCCTGAGAAAAAGTGTATGTGTCGTTTAGAGGACCAAATGTGTGTAAAACTACATACATACATATTTTATTTTTTCCAAGCATAAATCCGAACACATTGGCATTTCAGGCTGTTTATTTGGCTTAACAACGGTCATGACTTTTTGCGTTTATTTACTATAAAGGTACAGACACACACATGTGTATGTACATGTATGGTACATATCGTTCGCTTAGTGTGCAAACGAGCTTAAACCATTTCTTATAGGCGGGAAATAAATTTGTGATTTTTTTGTTTTGCATTTGGATTCCTTTCCATAACAACAAGTAAGTTCGGCATTCCACCAACGTTTATGATAATGATGTGTTTAGAGTTGAGATATTATCAGCGCAATTCTCAATTTTGATTAAAGTGGAAGTGGTAAGCGTTTGCAAACTAAGGCAACGAAATATGTTACTTTAAGACAAAAACTTAGATAATGTAAAAACATCTTTTGTATAAAAAATTAAATATATATGCTTATGTATATTTGATTCGATATGAATAAATATTTAGACCGTTGATGTTGGGTAGACATCTGTCTTAATATATGTATGTGTATATGTGTTGTATAAATAAATACGCAATATTAAATACTATAGAACTCATTTCGCTATCACACAATTGTGGTCTTACCGGCCAATAGACAGTTGTTGCTGGAGGAATAGCCGAAACGGTGTCGCTGTAGTGGCTGTGACGTTCATGAGCAAGCACATTCGACCACTCGCATGTCTGTCCACGTGGAAATCCTCAGTTTTTCGCTGTCTTTCTCGTCCACATGTAATACTTCGAGTTCGACTAGTTTAGAAGGCGCACAACAGGGACGAGGTGCGCGCTCGCGATTTTGCTTCCATATAAGGCTCTGCAACATGGCGTGATGGTGAGCGGGATTATATCGCGGTGGACAACGGCCATGACAATACCCAGCATCGAATACCTTTGGCTGAATAATAAATTCAAAACCTTTGATTTCCTTAAATATTACTTCCATTGTGTGCCTACAGCATCGTTGACTGCCTTTATGGCAAGAATGATTGGCAATAGCACCATTGGGGCGTTGTCGGCCATTAGAAAATGTGGCCACATTGTGATGGTGATGTGCCTCCTCAGCGGAATTTGAATGTTTGTTGGTTCTGATTTCTTTGTATGACACGCCAAGACGACCAATTATATTCAAAATTGGCATTAATTGTGTACCAGCGGCGTCCATATCGTCTACATTAGTGGGCGACGATATGTCGTTTAGTATACGGGCACCAACACGTTGGCAATTATCACACTGCACTTCCAAGCCAAGATTAGAATGCTGCTCGCGTAACCATGTCTCTACAGCTTTTGTCACATCAAACTGCAGCCATTGGCTATGAGTATCATCTCTGCGGCTCTGATCTATCTCGACGTTCAACTTAGAGCTATCGAGACACACGCGTTTACCATTTCCCAAACGTTGATATACCTTCAAATTTAAAACATGTTTCTGTTTATCATTGGCCACCGTGGAGTTAGCAAGGCGTTTACCACTTTTTTCTACGCTGTTGCCACAGGATCGATTTTTAAATTTCTGCTTTTTCTTATTGGGCTTGACTGCTAAAGCCGAGCTGTATATTAACATAAGCCGAATGTTGGCCTCTTCGACATCGCCGGGTTGCAATTGAGCAGCATTTGTCTCTAGGGCAAAATGTAAAATCATAGTAGTTTGTTTTTGCCGAAACATGCGGTCATTGTTCCGCTGCTTGCGTGGTAATACGAAATGATTAGTAACTGTTTCAACATCGGTAACCCCATCTTTTGTTTGGTGGAAGTTATCTAAAAAGTGTTGTATGTTACGTTTTCGCCGCAAATAAGTCTCGTATTTCGTGACATTTGGAGCAATGCTGACAATACGTAACGGGACGCTTTCTAACTCCCACTCAGCTGTATTTCCAATAGCATATGTTGATTCAGCTAGCTCCCGGCGCTTGCGATCGTGCACCCGCCGCAAATATTCCCGATACTTTGTAACATACTCACGCTGACTTATGTTAACCTAAAATGGTAAAAAATGTCAATTTCAAACATCGTCAAATAAATATTGCTAGGAGCATTTATTTACATTTTTTTGTGTGCATTTCTGTTGATGATAAGGCTTTGCAAGTGCTATATTTGATTAGAGGACATTGATTTCTCATAACTATTTTCTATAGTAAATACATACATTAAAGTGGGAGCCAAAAAAACGGAATAATCGCGTTTGCGGGAAATGTTCTACGGATCATTTTAAAGAACTTTGCCTAAGAGAATATTACTAATTTCTTCGTCAGTTTTTGTGATATCCGAATGAAATTTATTACATAGGTGCATTTTGACATTTTATTGATCATCGGAATCGGCCAGATCGGACAACTAAATCACATATCTCCCATGCAATCGATTATTCAGTTATCAGACTGCCTTGAATTAAAAAGCTAAAAACGTTCAGCTCCAACTAAACAGAACCTTCATCTGGCATTAGTAAGGACCAGTAGTTTTATGTATGGCGAGACAGCGACCAGTATAACTTCAGCTAACCTAAGAAGCAATAACTCACTGAACAAATATTCCAGAAACATAAAATTAAGTATATGGCATTCATTAGTTGTCATGCGAAACAGTTTAGCAACTGGATAATTGACGTGGTGTAGTCAAAATTATTTGGATGGATAATGTTATCCCACAAAGCAATTTTAACGAGTTCATAGCAATTCATGATGGCTTATAGTTCAAACAATCATCGACGCAAATCCGTGGTCCGAATCAACTGATACGACCTATCCTTTGAGGGTGCAATGTAAATGAACACTCACCACCGCTTATACCGTCCGCAGAGATAAAGAGATGCCCAACTCGTCTATCACTGGAAACGAGAGCGCAATTGCTAAACGTCAGACCTACTGAACTTTGACAGTTGCTTGAGTTCAGTAGGTTTTGACGTTTATCAATTGGAAAAAGAGGGACGGCCAGATTAAAATCCTACAGAAAAATATGTAAACAGAGAGATTTGTGCTGCTGTTGAAGATTACTAACAAAAATTGGAAAACAATGAAAATGAAAGAAAACGCGAAATTGAAATGTATGTGATGATATCTTTTATGATGTCATGCTAAGTGGTATTGATTTTTAATTGAAAATTTTTAAAAACATTTATTAATTGAGAGCTAATACATTTATTCTTTTGATTACGTATTGAAAGCTCAAAAATCAATTGTTTAATATACCACAAAATCACAAAAAAAGAGTATAAAAAGTTTCTGCATATGTTTAACGGATACATGTATAATAATATTTAATCTTTATAAATTATGGGTATTTTAATTTAAATTCCCAAAAATTATTATTTTGTCCGATCTGGCTACAATGGAAAATGTTGTAAAAAACGCTAATTTTGAGGCGCTCTCACACTGGAAAGAGTTGGGCATCCCATTATCCCTGCCGTCCGTTTCTACAGACCGTACGGTAGGATATCCGTGAAAATTGGATTTTTTTCAGTATAAACGAGTAAGCTGAGAGTGAGAGAGCAATCTCTTGCAACGCAGAGTTGCCAGTCTCGATATTTTGTAGTAATTAATAATAAACTTGAATATATTTGAAATATTCCTAAAATAACTCAAAACCACAGTCGAACATTTATTTATAAATAGGTAGACTATTTCTAATGGTTGGATTTTAGTTTTGAGCTTTTATATTTTGAAAAATTGTGTATACAATAGAACAATGGCAACATTAGTGAAATGAAAAATTAACAACTGATTTCTGCGTTGCAACTACGAGCATAACTTTTGACAAATTTGGTTTGATACAGGCGGGAGGAGTGTCGGTGACTGTTTGAAGCATTATAAGCATAGTTTGAAAAAGCTAGCATGTTGCACGTTTTGTTCCGAAATTCCAAATATGGATTCTTTCGCCGCATATTAGGACTTCTATTTCGCCGGTTGATATACATATCTCGGGCAATACGTCGAATATCTAATTTAAATTAATTTTATTTAACATAATGATATTTAGTCAGAAAAATTTATAAAGCCATGGAGAAAAATCTCCACATAGGTATACAAATATGATTTTACTGAATCAAGCAAAGAAGTAATCCCTGATTTATGCCAATCTCTCTATTATATATAAAAGTTTTCTGCTGCTGTCGAGAATCAACTAACATAAGAGTGAGCTAGCTCGCGCTCGGCGGGGGGCGGACGTAGGCGAGCGAGCGAAGCGAGCGTCCCGGAGCGCAGCGGAGGGCGCCTAGTACAAGTGTATAATAATATTAACGTAAGAGGAAAAATGTGAGCGATATTCTAAATTCAGAGTAAGTTCGACTGACTATAAACTACGGAAAATTGGTTCACAATTTCGCCAAATTGAAAACATTTATAATACTCGTAATAGCTTCGCAGACATTTCGACGTATTTCACATGATTTAGTTCTATAAAATGCAAAAGATTTTAAATACCGGATAGCGCTTGATTTAGCACCTTAACCATTGTTTTAAAACTTAAATTGATAAAAAAAAACAATAACATCGTCCAGAACTTGTGAACCTAAATTCAACAATGGCAACAAAGCTGTTCCGAAGAATAATTTGATATCCCTCATTGAAGCATTTGATAGATAAATAGCTATTAGAATTAATGTCTTACTATTGTTATCGTTGGGGTTGATTTTACACTCTGCACATAAGTCCCCAATTATTGCTGATGTTGATACCGTGACATCAGTCACACTTGAGTAAGGATCTTTTATTCGCAAAAAAGGAGTAACAACGTAATATCTGTCCTTGTCATTACGAAAGATGGCAGCATCTGAATTTCGAATTTCTTTACGATGAAATCTCGCAACAAATTCAAAATTTGGTACTTGTACAGGAGGTTCTTCATCGCTCATAAACGTATAAGTAACATAAGTCCCCAATTAAAATATTCGTATATTAGAAGAATCTGCCGGTAAAATCATTGGCGTGCTTACGAAAACTTTGACAATTAAATACTATTATCGAAAAGTATTTTTTCGAGTTATTAAAGTCGAAAACTTGTTTATCTAATGTGAAAATTAAATTTCCTGCTTACTAGTTACCGCATTTGACAACGCTTTATCCATCTCTGCTCGCTTTCATGCTCTGTAATCACGATAACATTGAGCTGTGGAAGTACTGGGGATTGCTACCTCATCTCTCCCATGAAATTATTTTAAAATTATTGTTATCATTGTGGAGCATGACAATATCTTTTTCGCGAAATTGTAAATTTAAACACGAAACAAACAATCCCCGAATCAACAGTAACGTACCTTCACGTAACCTCGACTTCACTGCGTCCCCTGTAGCCTCTTTTTCACACATTTTAATTATATGCAACAACGACAAGCGACAGGCAGCATCTTTCATATATTAACATACACACGTTCATATGGGCACAGTTATTTAGACAGCACACAAAGTCGACGGCACGACACGACAGCGAAATTTTCTAAGTCGGCAAATGTCGTCTTGAAGCCAGCTTCTTGAACATTTTGAAGATGTCAGCGACATATTCAACAGCTGATGTACGCAATATCGTTGTTGCCATACTAAAACCTTTAGCGTCAATGAAATTTAAATATTTTGTTCACAGTGAAGTTTTTTGTGCAAAACCTATTCGACCTATTTCATTAATTTGTTTTCAATTATTATTTGTTATTACATTATCAGTGTTATTTTATGCTTCTGTTGGTAAAATAACATTCGATTTGCTAAATCTTTCAATTTTTTACATTTCACATATTAGCGGCAACACTACAGCTGCCCGTTTTCGTAGGCAAAATTTGAAATGGTTTTAATTTAGCGACTGGGACATCTGCAAGCCTGCTGCCGTAAAGTCGTGCTCTTGTCTATAAAAAGGAAATCCCACTACATACGAATTTTAATTTATGCCATTGCCATATGTTTTAAAGATGGGTGTATGAATATGAATCTTGCGTTTGTTCATTAATACTTTTAGGTTTTTCTTGAAATATTGTTTACTTTTTTATAAAAATCAATAAATCCGCCAACATCTTCAAAAACCACACAAATTGTATTTATCAGTAGACGACGCGAACGCCATTTTCGGCTTCCAAAAATTACACTCACGAGTTATCCGCATTAGGACTAATTGCAAAGGTCAACTCAGTGTGCAATAGCTAATGCTGGAAACAGTCACTAGCATTCCGTACTTTAGTACTTACCGCCCGTATCAAACCAAATTTGCCAAAAGTTATGCCCGTAGTGGCAACGTAGAAATCTGTTGTTCTCTTTTGTTTTCATTGTTCAATTTTTTTATACGATCTTTCACACATTTAGTTTTGTAATTATAATTTTTCATAATGTAAAAGCTTTAAATTTAAATTCAATTTTTAAAAATAGTCTACCTATTTATAAATAAATGTATTCGACTGTGATATTGAGTTAGTTTAAGAATATTTCAAATATATCAAACTTTTTTTTTTAATTACTACAAAATATAGAGACTGGCAACCATGCGTTTCAAGAAAGCAATCAGCTTACTCGTTTCTACGGAAATAATCCAAACTTCGCGGATATCCTACTGTACGGTAGAAGTGGTGGTCTGTGTCCATCTCTTACAAGATAGGTCGTATCAGCTGATTCGGTCAATGGTTTTTCGTCGGTGACTGTTTCCACCATATAGCTTAAACACAATACGGGCGACGACGAATATTCGTCGTACTCGGCGACGCCGTCGAACGGATTTTCACCGAGTGTTGCCGCCGTGTAAAACACAATACCGACGATTTTCGTCGCAAGTTAGTGTATATTCAGCGCTCAAAAATATCACAATAAATGACGAAACCATACATAAACAATTTTAATAATGCCAACGCAGACATTTTCTTACATTCTTTTTGAAAATCCTTAATAATTTTACTGAAAATAATCTGTCCTTGATATGGTGATGCCGTTTTTGCCGCCGCGGTCGGCGATAAAATTAAAAATAGCTCTATCTCAAAAATCGTCATGGTGGGCGAAATTCGCCGGCGTCGCG